GTTTTCCACGCTTTGAACGACCTAAACAAAAAAAGAAAAGAAACATGATAAGTTTTCTTGTAATAATATATATTTATGTGAGTTTTACCGCCTTGTAGAACAGTCGTTCCATCAGGTAATGTTGTCAATGCACAATATCGTGGATGTCCTTTGGAACTAACAAAATTTCTTGCTCGTTTTGAAGCATCAAGTACTTTTTGACTAGGCATTCCAATAACTTCAATGATACAACTTAATTGATCGCCTTCATCTTCGCCAGGAAATAGTGGCATACCAGTAAATAATTCACTTAATATACATCCAAGACTCCACATATCAATTGGTAAACCTATATATTTAATAAAATAATAATTTACATGAATATGTTTACATATATATGTATATCAGACCATATTTAGCTCCAAGAATAATTTCTGGTGCTCTGTAAAATCTCGATTGAATATACGTATAAACTCTTTGATGTTCAAAACAACTCGAACCAAAATCAATCACTAAGAAGCAAAAAAAATGTTATATCTAAAAGAAAAACGAGTGTTTATAGAGCTTACCTTTAATACCACTTCTACCCTGTTGTTTCAATAATATATTTTCTGGTTTAAGATCTATATATAATTATTTTATTTTATTTTTCATCTATAAATATTTCTTACCACAATGTATAATCTTATTTCGATATAATGCATCAAGACATTGTAATATACTATGTGCAAATTTTCTTACAAGTTGCAAACTAAAACCTTGAAACCGATTCTTTTTGATTAACCTATTGATGAATAATAAATAAAAAAAAAGAACATATATATTTATTCATTAATTTAAAAATAGAATAAAGTGAAGAAAAAAAAATCTTTATTTACTCGTATAGATTCATTGAAAGTAATTCAAATGTAATACAGATATGATTACGAAATTGAAACCATTCAATAAGATGAATTACATTAAATGTATTATCACGATCTTGTTTACGTAAATGTTCAAGTATACGAATTTCTTCTTGAGCTTGACGATGAAAACGTTTTTCATTTCGAACTATTTTTAATGCAACGAGTTGACCAGTTTTATGATCATAACATTTAACAACAAGACCAAATGAACCTTTACCAAGAATTTTTAAAACTTCAAAACCTAAATCAAAAAAGAATTAATTAGAAGCTCGCTTTTTTTTATTATAACATACGGTAGGCGATGTGATCATGTTGGACAGCAATATAAGAAGCATTTTCATCATCATAATTACCTGGAAATAAAAATAATTGAATATAAATTTTTACCAAAATTTTGTTATTATTAATCGTAAATCATTTTTATTTTTTATACTGGAAGATTAGAATGTATATTTTATTAGAAACGAAATTATTTATAGAGATTCTAAAAAGATTATATCTATAAGTGAGCTATAAAATTTACTTTATCACGTACTTTTTTTCAACAGTTCAAAGAATTCAAGAAAAAAAACATTTTTGTACTTTAAGCTTTGAAGAACGTGTATGTGGAGGTCAAAGACTCAATAAGAAAAGTGCTATCCATTTAATAAATAAACTATTCACTTAACTAAACTACTTGAAATAACGACTCATACTCATTATATTTTTAATAAAATTAGTTAAATTCTCGTGAGAAAATTTTTCAAAAACATATTCATACCATTATTAGGACCGCCACCAACTCCTTGTCGTTTACGTGCATTTTGTCCAACAAAATAAATCTGTGGATAAGAAAATATTTCATGTCGTTCATAGGCAGTCAATTTCGACATATATGTTTTCATTGCAGTATCAGGATCAAGTGCATTTGTTAAACGTCGTTGCTGAGATGATGAACGCATGCTTAGCACGCTATCAACACTTGGAGTTTTATGTATTGATTGTTCCGAAGTTTGTTGTTGAGCAGCAGGGACTTGTGGTATACTATTATGATGTTGTTGATGATGATTATAATGATTATGATAACCATTTGTTCCATTATTATTCACTGTTGTAGAATTTCCATTAGCAAGTGTAGTCGAATCACCATACGGTAGTTTATGTGATATATATTGTTGTGATGGATGATGTGATAGAGCAGCGATAACAGGACTACTTTCATATAATTGTTGTACTTGTACGCCAGTTTGACGTTGTTGACGAGCACGAATTGGTGGGAGACTTGTTTGAGCTTGATAGTCATACATTGGATCTGTTGTATTAGTCTTATCTACTATGGAGGTAGTGGTAACAATGGCTAAAATAAAATAAAAAACGATAACGTGCTAAAAGTATTAGAACACCTATTTTATGAAAATCACGCTATATATGGTCAACCTACGCTTTTCTAACGAGTATTCGCACTTTTCCTTAAAAAAAAATATAGTCTACAAGTAATTATATTTTACCGGAGCTGCTAGCTAAATTTGCTCGTTGACTATTTGTTAATGATGAAATTGAAGAAGCACGTGGAAATGCTTCCATATGGCTTGCTGTCATTCAATAAATAATGCTGTTTTCATTTGGAAAATTTAAAATATAACATACGGAAATAGAATATAAGTCTAACTGATGATTTTTTCTCTTTTCTACTTTCTTTTTTAACCTTTTTTTCTCTTTTACTCAACATACCATAAAATAAATTCTCTAGTTTTTCTTTTCCTAATGGTTCTTTTAACGGTGTTGTCGTATTATTAGTGTGTTTTCTTTTCTTCTTTTTTTTTATATTAAAAAAAACGCATTTACAAGAATTTCTCTTTTCTTCTTCTTTCGTCTTTTTTTCTATCGAGAAAAAACTCTAGTAGTTTCTTTTATTTTTACATACCTGTTCAACTATTTTTTAAAATTTTGTTAAAAACAAATAGCAAAAAAAAATGTGTCAGATTTGCAGCAAGGTCAATAATCTACTTTTTGTTTTTTTTGCTACGTATATTTCTCTTTGTCTACATGTGTATAAAAGAAAAAGTGCACATCAACAAAAACTAAAAAAAGAAATCGAGAGAGAGCGAGGTAAAAAATTGTATTTGTAAAATGTGATTAAAAACAGAGGCAACGACAACGACTAACAGAACAAGATCTTTTCTCTTTTCTTCTTTCATTATTTCAATCTGAAAATATGTTGAAAGAGTAAAAAATAAGAAAAGATTGACGAATTGAAACCACATACTGACAATAGAATATGTTTATCAAGGTCTTCTATCGTCCAGTTTCCCTCATCTGTTAATGACAAACATTGTATCAATACGTTTCTCTCATATTTGTTTTTTTATTTCGAAAAAAAGAAATGATATACGCACTCAAAACTTTTTTCAATGTTCTCTGATACAATAAACTTTTGTTACTTTAAATATGTCACCTTATCTTACCATAGTTCTTTATTTTTCTTTTATTCTGCGACTATTTTTATGACGAAAACATGTCTCTTCCTAAAAATGAAATATGAAATATAGAGGAGAAAAAGGTTATTTTTATGTATAGCAACAAAAATAAACAAAAATAAAAAATATTTTTTTTTCTTTGTATACATTAACAAAAAAACACGTTCTTTAACTTTATTATAAGAAGAAAAAAATATATTTTTGAATATTTATATTATTAAAAGATGATCACCACCTACCCGCTGCTCTCCCCTCTTTTCCTTATGTCGCGTACAGATGAGAATGTAAAGAGATGTAATCAAAAATTGTATTGTAATCTTTGATCTTGATTATCCTTTAGTAACTAAATAAAACGAGAGAACGTCATCACCATCAATAGATATGCTGACGTAACTCAACAGTAGGAGTGATAGTGGAGACATTATCGATCATCGCTTACTCAACAAATTTAACGTGCCAATTCAATAAATGCATGCGATCGGCTCCTCTCTATCGACAACGAACGATAGAGAGAGAAACAAACAATAATCTAAGATTAGTGATTAACATCTCAAAGTCATTATTGTATTGAATCAATAGTACATCAATAAAAAAAAGAACGATGATGTTATTTCTTTTTTTCTCATGAAAAATGATCATATGTATTTATTCAATAATCATATAAGAAATAATCTCGCTCTCTCGTACAAGGTCACTGAGATTAGTAGAATATTTAACAATATATATATATATATATTTCACATACCGTCTTATTATTTATTATTGTTTTTGAACGAAAATTGATCAGTATATATAATAGATAACTATATTTGCATTTTGATAAACAAAATAATTAATACAAATTATTAAATTTATTGATATTACGATAGACACCTGGGTACATAGACATCTACAAGAAATTTGAAATCTAAAAAGCAAGATGAAGAAAATGCTGACATTTCTGTATTTATTTGTAAAATAAATAGCCTAAAATAATATTAGAGAGTAAAGAGAAAGAGAATGTTTGATTTGTGTACTTTAATGAGAAAAATATGTAACAGATGCTACTATGATGGCCATTATTCCACTGGTAACTGTGCATACCAAAAGAGGTTCGATACTTTTGTACATTTATGTAACAGTGGCATCTCTAACAGAATTTAAACAATGATGACTGGCGCCATCATATTTGCTATAGAATTCTTGTACATTTCTTTCGTTTGGTATAAAGCTTGTCATACGTTCTGATGAAATAATCACGTGATGAGAAGATTGTTTATTTTAACTGCTAAGCATTTTTACATTCCATACTATATTGATTCTTTGAAAAACAATTTTATTTAATACAAAGACAGGGCGAAGAGTTCTTTATTCGTCTACGAATGTTCTTTTACTACGCATAATATTAAATGTTCTATTTTCAAAATTTTTACATAATAACATTCAGTTCATAGACAACTTTTATCAAATGTATTCTAATTAAATGAATCTTGTTCTACTCATTGATATGTAAAATTATAAAGACTTTTTTTTTTTTATAGATCATATATATATTTTGCAAAGTTTTTATTTCCAAATATCTTTGTTTGTTTTTCAAAATACATTCAAAAAAAAAGCAATGCTTGAAATATGTGCGGTGTTAACATAGAGTGTTAGTAAAAATTTTCCTTTGTGTTTATCATTATTTGCCAAGAAGAATACCTTCGTTCGGTAAATCACGTTTTCCCAAAAGTACAGCTTCATTTGGTAAATCACGTCTACCTAAAAGTACAGCTTCATGAGGTATTCGACGTTTTCCTAAAAGGACAGCTTCGTTAGGTAAATCACGTTTGCCTAAAAGTACAGCTTCATATGGTAATCGACGTTTACCAAGAAGAACAGCTTCATTTGGAAGTCGAGCTGCACGTTCTGTTTCACGTTTACCTAACATGATACCAACATAACCATCAGGTATGTCACTATTACTAAATGTGCGCTTGTCCATTGATAAACTTGAATCGTCTGATTCTTCATCAAATACTTTTTCAAAAGCTGAATTATGATGTAATGGTGAAGCTTGCATTGAATTAATGAAGAAAAGTAAACCTGAGGAAACAAAAAAAGAAAATAGTTGAAGTTACATTTTACTGACGTAACTAATTGATACTCATTTATCTTATATATTCTTATCAATGCTTTTAATGACATCAATTTAAACTTACCCATAGCGAATACAAGAGTGTAGATTATCGAATTGAAAACCATTTTGATTGGATTTAAAGTTTATAAAGAATTAATAAATGAAGCTCAAATCTGAAATATATAATAAAAGATAGTTATATATATATATTTTGGAATTTACCTGTTTAGAGAATAATAGAAACAATGAATATAATAGATGGACAAAGAAAAATGAGATAATGATTGTTAAATGAACTGATCAAGAAGATTTATATACTGTTTCTCTCTCTTTCTTTCTTCCCTCCCTCCCTCTCTCTTAGATCTAGGGGGAAGAGAACGAAATAAGTTCTTTTCATTTTTTTTGTACTGTCAAAATAATCATATTACTTATGTAGGCGACTTTTGACTTTAAATATACAAAAGACGTTGACTTTATTTTGTTAAATTTTATTAATCAAATCAATATGAAATATACAATTAACTTATATATAAAAATATAAAAATTTCTTTCTTTTTTCTTTAAATATTTAAATCAAATTGATAAACATATTCGTTTAGCCTCAAGGCAATATGACAATCAAAATGATGTGCTTCCACTTATAACCATTGTTCTTTTCTTTTCTTTTGATTATATAATTATCAAGATGATTCCCTTGGGTATAAACACTTACTTGTTTTATTAATCAGACAAGTTGAAGTATATGCACATCATAATTATTGTCATTGCGTATACAAATTCGATAAGTGACATAAACAATACATACACACACTTCAAATATTAACAAGAAAAGTTGATTGTCTATATGAAAGATTAATGTTCCTAAAACTTTAAGTAGCTTTCTCTGTCATTTGACTAAAAAAAAAGAAAGATGGTCTAGGTTAATATAAGTACATATAAATAATTCAAAATAATTTTTTTCTAAGGGTTTAGGACAGTTGCTATGAGTCACCCACATCTAGTCCTACGAGCAACTGCCCGTTTCCTCTTTACTAGAGATCACTTCATATGATGATATTGAAAATCAGCTATAGTAGATTTTATTCCAGCATATTCGAGTTTGAAATTTCTAGAAATAGATATCTGTGAAGAATATGTTGACTATCATTGGTATAAATACAACAGCTCAATAAAGTCTTAAGGAAGTAATATATTCTCGACGCTGAATACTTAGTCATAGATACATAGGAGACGAAAGGTTCTGTATAAAGAAATCAGATAACCTTAAATCTACTGTGCTAGTTTTAGATTGTTATTTGATTCAGTAGATCTTACAAATTTGCTGTAATTGCAAGTTTTTTATGTCAAAATATTTCAAGCGAATGAATGAGAACTCATCATAACTAAGTTTTTTCTTATGTATACAGATATATACTCAATTCACTGTTGGTAGTTTCATCTTTTACTGACTGTTATCGAAAGAATCTAATGAGAAATTTACTTTCGTTGAAATAACTAAAAGAAAATGAATCCTACCTTTGATTTAAGAAAAACAACTATATATAAACAAATATAAATACATGTATGTGTGCCTACGAAGGTGAAACAGAGGAAAGAGAAACGACAAATATCAGTTAAAGACAAACAATAGAAGTGAATCGATGATGTAAGGATATCATCAAAACGAATGGAAAACAAAGAAAGATATATGTTATGGCGTTTCGCTGTAACATGCTTTCTCTGACAAATGAAAATGTAGTTTATCAACATTTTGAAAGGGAAAATATAAGTAAAGATAGAAAATAAGTAACGACATAGAGAAAGATATAGAGTGAAGGTTAACATGAAAAATGTCAAAAATTAAAAGTCACATGTAGATAATGTATGGGATGAACAAGAAGAATAACGAAAAGTTATCGATCCATATACTAGAATAACTAATATGTTCGTGATTCTATGTATTGACTGAATTATGATGAAGAATCTTTTTTACATCTGTTACTATAAATTAGATGCTTAATTCTGTGAGGAATTATTCCATACTTATAAGATTTCTAATATTGTCTTCATGTATCACTACTGTTGTATATCTTTTTTCTTTCTCTTAAAATTAATTAACTAAGTTTTTCATATTCCTTTATAAAACTTGTTCGCTCATTTGTTTAATTTTACGCAGCAGGTTCAATATAACATGTGATGATAGATGAAATGAGTTATGTAAATGATATATTATTATCAATTGAACTGACTGGAGATAATTCAAATGTATTATAATCAATATATTTCTTCGACTACCCGTGTGGTCGGTTGCTCCGTTATCATATGTAATTATTGCCATTATTTTCCATTATAATAACAATAATTACATATTAATGCAACAATCGGCTGCATGAGTAAGGTCTGAAATCAAATTTTGCGATTTTCATTCTAATCACTATTCGTTGTATTGGCAAGTAATCATACGATACATATGCTGTAAATTGTTGTTAATATTGTTTTTCTCTGGAATCTAATAGGATATCAAGTCTTTCATTACTTAAAAATTTTGGAACATTATTCTTTAATAAACATGCACGCGAATCTTGGACAGAGAGTAAGGTGATGATAGTTTCTTTTCGATACATCTTGTAAAGTATCAGATACTATTGTTGATTCCAAAGAAGTTTTAATTGATTTTGTAAATTAAATAAATTGATAGAAATAATTTATATTCAACGAAATATTAAAAACAATTGTGATTATCAGGAGGAATATTAAATATTTTTTATTGTAATAATGAGTGATAAATTATGTAATAAAATGATTTGCATTTGAATTAATATCCATTATTTTTCTTCTAGTATACATTTAATGATGGGTGTGGATATAGTATTCGTCACTCGCCTATGTCTACACCCATTCATTAAATGTTGAAGTGTTTCATTGTAAGACTAGCCTAGCTAAAGATCTTCAGTATATAAACAAACGAACATTCAAGTCTGTTCGCATGAGCTTCGTAAGCCTTATCATATTTTCAAATAAGTGATCGCCTTCGTAATTATTCGACATTTCTCCTTTTTACCAATTGAAATTATCTTCGTAAGTATATAAAAGCAATAAGGTCCTAAATTTTTTGAATATATCAAATTGATTAAAGAAAAGATTAGAAACCATGAAATAAATATCGAGAAGTTAAACGAAACAAAAAAATCAGTATTTATTGCTTCTCTTGTTCAATTTCAATTTGAATCAATAAGATCTCCGTAGTTTGAACTTTTCCGATTTGACTGGATGGATTCTCATGCATTTCAATTCAATTAATTGAGCCATCTCTTTTATTCTTGAGATTCTCGTATATGATATTCGAAATTATCTTTTTTTTAAATACTTTTCATAACTATTATCGTCTACCAAAGATACATTTGTAATTGTATTCAATGACGATTTTAAACTTGAAAAAAAAAACAAGTAAAAATATTTAATCTTGCTCAGACAAATTTATTGAATAAATTTCATCAAAAAATCTTCAGATTAACGTGAAGAAATATCAAAACATCATCGCAAGAATTTACATATAAATATATGTTAGTCAATAATCTATTTAATACTATTCTCTACAGCATTCGAATACGAATTTGTGTTTTAATATCTTTATCGAAGACCAGCCGTCTAAAAGTGAAAAAAATACTATATGACTACTTCTAATCCATTTAGTAGAATAGTTTGTTTAACTGGTATATGAATGGTAGTAGTAACGAGAAAAAACGAATTTAATGCCTCTATTAAGATTTTCGAAACATGGTAGTCCAATAGAAACAATACTAGGCAGAGGTCATCAAAGTATATAAAAATATAAATGAACAGAATCGTTTCAATACTGATCTTCTTTCATCGACTAGTAAAATAGAGTCTTGTTTTTTTTTAATTCGAAAATGGTGAATATTAACAAGAAGTGAAATTGAAAAATAGCTTCATTATTATAAGATAACAGTGAAGATTGTTTGAAAAATGTGTCGAGTTTGTTAGTCACTGAATACCTTTGTCAAGCGATTAATTTTTTATTTTGACAAATTTTATTCACAATCATACATATCTATGATTATATATTCCGTTAAGTTTACTTAAATAGTGTCAATAATTAGTTCATCGGTTATCGTCAGTTGATAGATCTGTTTCATAAGAGATTAACAATCTTTTCACTGCACAGCTAAATTTATCATATATGTTTTCAAAAAAAGGAATTAACTACATAAAAAAAAAACCAAAATTTAGTTTGTCTGTTTTTGTTTGTATTGTCCAATCGATTCTGCCCGTTTACGTGCCCATTCTGGTAGTGGTGCATTCCAATCACTTGGTGGTTCGGTTCTAGGTTGCCATACATCATTATTTTCTGCAGATAATTTCCGTCGAATAAGACGATCTTCTTCATAAGATATCAAGTTTTTCTAATACAATAAAAAAGTCTTTATTAAACTTAATTATATAGAAAGACAAATAAAAAACTCTTCTTACTAATTCTTGAACATCTTTTCGTTGTAACCAAAACATACAATTATGTAATGCTTCAGCAATTGGTGCACAATCTTTCCGTTCACCTAACATATATCTTTGATATAATCGACCTCGCCAACCTAATTATAAAAAGATTTTTCGAAAAATAAAATTTGACAATAAAATCTTACTTCGACAATAGCTTAATTCATCATTATATTCTTCACATGGTTTAATCTATAAATAATATACAAGAAAAGAATAATTCTTTTTTATTTTGTTTTAATCAATTACCAGCCATTGACCAGGTATTTCATTTTTTACATCTGAAGTATTTGACATTATCTATAAGAAAAACAAAACAAAACAATTGTTATACAAAAGTCATTATTATTAAAGCTCAACTACAAAACACACACACACACACATTCAAATAAAAACAAAATTCTCTTAAGGACGTGTTCGTAGACCCCAAATTGCTGTTCGACGGACACCATAAGTAGGTCGAGCAACATAAGAAAAACGTTGTTGATTTAAACTAATCGATGAACCAAGTAAAGAATTTAATTTTTCTAAACCGCGTTGATCAACAACACCAAATATATCCAAAGAATTAAGATGCCGTAATTGTTTTAATGATCTAATTAGTTTTAATAATAATAAAAAGAAGATACATATTACTTTTTCTTGAAATGAATACATACGCATAGGTAATAGGTGCAATTGCATAACAACGTGAAAATGCAATATGTTCTAAATGAAGACAATTACGTAGAACACTCGTTACTGATTTATCAGTAATTAAACTTGAATCACTTAAATCAAGAACACGTAGACGAACAGCACGACGTGTTAAATTTTCAACGCCTGAAAAAAAGAAAAGGATTTTATAATTACGAAGGATAATACAATATTCCTCAGCGGTAGACCTGAGTAAAACTAATAACAAGGAGTTTGTTTATTTACCGAAATCGTTTATTCTCAAGATGATAAATCTATGCATTGTGAGTATTAATTTAAAAATTTTTCAATTAAGTGGTGATTACGATCTCTCCTCAACTTTGTAATTATCATTCTATGATGAAATTTAGCTGAAAAGTCTTATAGACCAAAACACATTATCTCACAAGTAGAACTCATAGAATAAAATCTAAGTACATGATAACTTTATTATCATAAGACTGACTGAAGAATATGTTGAGTGTGTTAGTCCTTAGTAAACATAAATGAAGTTCTTATTGACTGAATGATTCCTTGAAAGTATTAGAAGTACAGTTCATATCCGAATTGAAGCTCCATAGAAATCTAATAATTCGTATTAACTACTTTTAGATCGTTTTCCTGAAAAATCCACTATCCCTAACGAAAAAATTTTTATTATCTAGATTCTCTTACATTCATCAGTCATTGCTTGTCGAAAACCAGTTATTGTTAAATGTTCAATACTTGCTTGAATTGTTCGACATATATAATGTAAACATTGTTCACTTAATTGTGTCCAACCCATATTTAAATATCGTAAACTATTATAATCAAATAATAAACAATTAAATATTTGTTTTTTTGATAAAGAAATATATTTAAATACTGTCTCATTTGTCCCGTTAATATTGAGCAACAATCAAGATCCATTCCGCTACACATAGTTAAATTTAATGTATCCAACTGTGGATTTAATGCTAATTTTCTAAATTATAATAAATAGTTTTTGAGTAATTTTAAAATTTTTCATTTACTCAAATATCAATGAATTCAATATTAATGTTTCTAGACTAATTTTACGAAGTGATCGACAAGCACTTATTAAACTCAGTAAGCAATCAGTTGAAATTGTCCCAAGAGTTAAATCAAGAAATTGAAGTTTTGTAAACCTATAAAAATATTGAATTCATCAAAAAAAAACAAGAAGTTAAATATAAATCTCAACCATGTATTTCGATTTGGTGAATAAATAGAATTTCCATGAACCTAGATTATAAATATTAGTAATTGAATAATTAATAAATATTCATTAACGAACAGTTGTTTGATACATTTTAAGAATAATTGTACCACGTAAAAGAACATCACGTAAATAACAAGTTTCGATATGTTTTCGAGACATATCTATTCGACACCATAAACTTGGATCATAACTATAAAATAATAAATACATTTTTTGATTCTAATTATTCGCAGAAGTTTTTACATACGTTAAAGAACGTAATCGACGACAAATTTGAGCCATAGCAGCTAATGATGCACGAGGAAGGTATTTCAAAATTGATAAAATTAATTCATCAGATAATAAATTAAAATAATCTATATAGTATAAATAAAGAAAAACATTTCTTGTCAAGAAATATTAACCTTTCTGTTTTGAATTTGTTACATTAACATAAGTTCTCGTTTTATTCTCTTTCATTGGTAAAATAGTGGATAAATCAACAGGACGAAATCGAATACGAAGTGGACCATTCTCTGTTAATGACATTCTCTACATAAAATTTTTATTATTTCAATGTGATAAAAAAAATTAAAGAATATATACCGATTGATTTAAACTTGTACTAGATAATTGTCTGGTGATAGTTGCTGAAGAAACTCGTGCTGATACTGGTTGTTGCGAATCATCATCATCATCAATACCATTAAAATATGTACTACGATTATCGAATAGATCTTCTGGTGCTTTTGAACATATATTACTATGCACATTGATATGATTTCTAAATAAAAAAAAATATGAACCTTAGTCTGCAATCAATCTAAGAATGATAGAATACTAGAAAATATTCTTACTACTCATTAATAATAAAACTTACTGTGGAATAATTTGTGGAATGAGATCAGTCGAATCACAGCGTGCTAAAGATCGTGTTGGTCCTTGATGTTTCAATGCTTGATAACGTTCTTTAACTTTTGATGGCTCCATTGTTAACTCTTCTAAACATCATCAATCATATCAATAAAAGTTCAATGTTTATCATTCTTTTATATCTCTCGCATATATATATATATATTATATATGTATATATT